ATGAGCTGTCAGAGAACATTTCCATCCATCCATCCGTCCATCTTCTGCCACGTATAGATCCCAAGAGGCGCAGGGCATGAGGCACACACACGCTGTAGTGGATAACAGTCCATTTCAGTCCACATATGAAAGGCAATTTAGAGTCACCTATTTATACAAATAGCCTTTCTTTGGAGAACGGGAGGTAGGATAGATCACCAGGCCACACACGCACAGAGTGGGGTAAGAAGTCAAACCTGTCACTCTGTAGTTGTGAGGGACAGCGCTACCCACAGAGCTGTGCTACGTTCCCCTTTAGTGTTACACCCATGTGCTATTAGAGAAAAAAAGATGAAGAACATGCTGTCAAAACATTTCCCTATGATTTCTTCCAGTGTCATTATCATACTAATGCAACGCGGTCTCGCAGAGACCGTTAAAGAGGCTCTCTCCGTAGCTACAGACGGGCCCCAGTGGCTTCCTTTAAGGCAGTCCAGCAGACTTCAGAGAAGGCATGAATGCGGACGGCCGAAAACGACAAGGAGCTCGGGAATTAAACCGTTTGAAACGGGCGGAGTGTCGCCGGCAGCAAGGTTTCCCCCGGCATGGGATGTGGTGCCGTGATTCCAGAGCGAATTCCGTAATTATACACCCAGGAAATGGCAGGGAGGTTTCCGTACCGTGCGATCAAACATCGCGGCAGGATTTTAAGTCAGCCCTCGTTGGTCATCTAGACGGTATATGCCATGTGTGATGCACATACCAGGACTGCCGTCTGCCTGTAGATTCAGACACCGTGTTTTCTTTCTTTTCACCGCAGCAGAAATTTTTTTATTATTTTTTTTTTCCAAGTCCTTCTCATGTCAAAGGTCACTGACGCTGTGAGCCGAGCTGATGAATCTGAGGGGAAAGCAATCACTGGGGATGAAAGAGTTTTCCGAGTGCCACCGGCAATGGGGGGGGGCAGGTGCAGAGCAGGCGATGTTATTTAGCCACCGTGCGGAAGACCTCAGAGACCACCTCCATCGCCCCGAAATCCGGCCCCCTGGGAATTAAAAATACAGAGGCAGGCTGGTTGCATGGAACACAGTGGGGCCCGCTTCACACGAAGGAGTGCTTCAGCGCCAATGAAAGCCCGGCTCGAATATGACCCGGATGAAACACTGCCCCTGCACCACCACCGATGGAAAAATCAATTCCGCAGATCCATCTCAATGCTTGCACGACCCCTATAAAGTCATTCCCGTTTGTTTTGCAAATGAAAGCAACGACAGACTCCATCCCACTAGCTGTTCCCCGGGCCCCCCGAGCAAACAAGTGTGTCGTAAATGGATGGACGAGGAACAAACATTTGATTAGCCAAACAAATGTTAGGTGGAGCCGCCGATGTGAGCGAGGAGTGAGCAGGTGTACGGCGGCCCGTTGCGTCGTAAATCTACCGGGGATTCGCAGATGGCGTCAGGCCGAACGGTAGGCACAGCAAGCCGCAGTACCCGTAGAGACATGCTAGGTGGTATATCTTAGGCAGGAGTGTAATTTCTGCACCATTTGAGTTGCTAAGCATTTTCACGTCGTAATTTGTTGGTGAGGCATAAGATGGGTGTGGGCATTAGCGCCCCCTGGAGGAATTACGCATACTGCGATCCAGCCAGATCTGTATGTACTGCCCGTGTGTTGAACGTGCCCTCGGGTCGGCGTAGTGCTGCAAAACTTCACATACGAGCCCCTGGAGTCTCCCATATAGCTTTGGGAGTCTCACACCATAACATCCTGCTTTCATTCGCTGAGCATGGAGGTCAAGGCAGCTGACGCATACAAACCCGTCGGGCTGCCATGTCTTCGTAAGGTGGTGCTGTCGCGCTCTTGTGCCGGCCGGGCCGCTCCGTTAGGCCGCCAGCCGCTGTTTCGCCTTTAAAGTTCCCATCTCACTACCGCTTCTTGCTGCCTCTCCCCGTTTCATGTGCAAATGATGGTGCCGGCCTGCGACACGCCGTATAATGAACTCCCAGCAGCCTCTGAGTCTCAGCCCTTCAAAGGAATCCCAATACGCTCCTTACCGATAAAATGTGTCATTAACAGAGCCAGATGCATGTATATTTTAAGAGTAGATAATGGTTAAACTAGAGTACCCGAGTTTTGTTCCTGCCGGTCAATGTGGCATTTTTGCTCCATTCGTTACTTAATTAACCTTGTAATGCTCACACTTCAAACAGATACTGAATGAAATGGAAGGATTGCTGCTATTTACTGCTTTCAGTTGTACTTGTGTTTGGGTTAAACTTCTTGGTTTGATAAGTGCAGAAAATGTACTGCTATGCAGAAATGAAATGAAAACCAAGGTGTACCAAGCACATGCGAAGTTTAAAAAAATATCAGTGCTGTTCACATTAGAGATGACAAAATAATGTGAGTTTTTCCAAGGTATGAATTTTAGAGCATAAAACTTCGTAATAACAAACATTTTATAGCACTATGATGTAAATTATGGACTCAGTTTTGCAGCCACTGTGCCTTCTGTTAGCCAACGAGACGGAGGTGTGGCAATTCGAACACTTAGCGGTTTTAGTGCTACACAAATTCAGTACAATAATAACAACGTTCAAGATGTTGTAGCTGAATCTTACTACATCTTTAACGCTCTTAAATTATACATAGAATCATTCAGGCAGAATAAGAATCACAAATTAGTTTCACTCCAGAACAGGGAGATAAGACGCAGCTTATCTCCTGAATAACAGATATTGTTTACCATAGTACAGCACCACGTGTTTGACTTCTTTTATGTTCGTGCGTTGGCTGTTTCATAACCTGTGATGTATGAACGGAAAATGCAGAGTGAGGACAGCAGCTCTGAAGGTCCGGTGATGGCAGTGACGGGACGGGGCGGCAGGGCCTGATCTGGGCCGTCGGCCAGCCTCCCCCCCCCCTCCCCGTGGTGCCGGTGGTGGTGCTTTCAGCCGCTCCCTTTGACTGGTTTGCGCGGCGATGTGGGAGACCACCCAGTAATGACAAATCACAGACGCTGACCCCGCTAAAACGCCACAGGCCGTCTGTCAGCTTCCTGCCACCTGTTCTGATTGTCGCCGATAGACACAAGCTGTCCGCTTCCATCCCAGATTCTCGGCCCATGCCCAGGCGGACGGGTGGGGTGCAATCAGGCCCTTTTTAAAAAGCTAGGAGCCCCCACGTTAAGTGGGAAGGCTGAATCGGCTCAGTTAGCACAGTAATTACTTTGATCGGTTTCCCAGACGCTCAATTGGGACCTTCCACACGCTGCCATGATGGACAGAGCGTAGGGTGTAGCAGAGAGAGATTGCAGCGGGGGCTACGATTGCCTTTCGTCTTGGTCCTGTAGCTCGTCCTCCCGCTTCCCCATGCCAGGGGCACATGGACAGGCGGCATGCCGGTAAGAGGTGCTCCGCTGGTCCGTAACAGCCCCGCCCTTACTCCTGTTGCGGTTTCACAGAACCCTATTGTAGAACCCCATTGTAGTTGTGGTGGGGGGTCGAGCATGGACAGCGAGCACTGTGGGAGTGTTCAGGTCAGAACTATGGCAGAATATTCTCTGTGTGGGGGGGCATGTCGTCACACTGGCAGAGGATTCTGGCCGCTTCTGCTCAGGCCCCGTTATTAGCTATTAGATCTGTGTGCAAAGGCAGCTCTGCATGGGAGGCTGACTCCACTCATGTCACCCTGTATTACCCAGCAGGCCTTGCTGCTGGCATCCTGCTGTGTACAACACTGTCCCCATTTTTTTAAAACTGTGGAGTTATAACCTCCCAGATTATAATCCTGATCTGTGTCTCGCTGAATTTAACACATCATCATTTATGATAGCGATTTTAATATTTTATTTAACAATAATTTGGAGGGGGTCTGAAGCATTGTTGTTTCATAATTGTGACATTTCCTTGCATTTATTTTTATAGTTTTACATTTACATTTACAGAATAGTCATAATTCACTAGGTCCAGCTCACACACACGCAGACACACAGAGGCCGTCGCATTTGCGTGTGAAAAGTGTGTGTGTGTGTGTGTGTGTGTGTAAATGGACCACTGACGCTCCTCACCTTCACAGCTTGTGACGAGGCAGAATCTAATACCTCCTAATGTACAACCAATCCAAAGCCTCCTATTATGTCATTATAACGTTGCTGAGACACCAGTTAGGTCTCCCACACCAAACACCTGCACTGGAGTCTGCCTTATGCCCGTGTGAGCACCCACGTGTGTCAGCTGGAGGAAGAGTGTCCCATTTTCTAGGATAGAGGGGTGGCACATGGACTAAGAATTATCAGCTTTCCATTCACCATGGCAGCCAGAAAAACTGACAAAAAATACGAGCAGCACATTATACGAGCAGCACACGCTCGGGCCACTGCATCAGTGAAAGCAAGTCATTGCTACATTATTATTCTATAAAATTCTGTTATATTCCTAATAAGTCGGGCCTAACAAACTGACCGCACTAAATTATGCTGAAATTATAAGAACGATTTCATTTGGCCAGATGGCTGCAGTTTGTCTGTTTCAGCAGCAGATGAATCAATTGTGTACTCGATTAATAATGCATGTTGACTCTTCCTTAGTTGCTGATGGGGCACATAATCATTTTTATAAATATAAAGAACAACTATTGACCCAAAATCTTCAGATAAATGTTATCATATTTTTAGTAGTAAGGCTGTTCTGTGTGTATGACAGCTACGTATGACTAGTCAGCCCAGACAAATACTGCATAAAATGAAAATTCATGGCACCCTAAAAAACAGACGTCCTAACATGACTCACTAGGCAGGAGCGTGTGCCAGGGTGGGGTCTCAGGGTCGCTGGCCCCAGCTGAAAGCTGATTGGCCCCTGGAGGGCCCCTCCCTGTCACTCACCGATTGAAAACATATCTTTGGTTAAGGATCCATGTTAGCGAATAATTATGGTCCCCCACCTTAAAAAAAAATCTTAGAACCGCTCCTACCACCAACTCAGAGACCCGTGTTCATTGCCTGCCGCTTCCTCTTCTAGGTCCCTCCTCCAGGACGGACCAGACATGCTCTGGGTGGAGCGTAGAGGTGTGGAGATGCGCTGCGGGAGACGCAGACTGCGCCTGGCCGCCATGAAGCTCCCCTGCTCCTTCTGGTTCCTCCTGCTCTTCGGAGCCGGAGGCCTGGTGCTCTTCATCCACCTGCAGGACCTCTCTGAGATGGTGCAGCAGCAAGTTCCAGGTTAGTGTACTTCGTGTGCCTGAAGGTCATCTCCGAGAAGGTCACCACCCCTTGCATCCACTTACAGGGAGTTTCAGCGTCTGTGCTGCGAGGTTCACAAGTGGACCCAGATCAGCTATGGATCTAAACATGAGCGATAAAGCATCAAATTAAGTTACAGCTTCTGACTGAATCTAGGTGTCTCTGTGGGTAGGGGCATAGGAACCGGGGGTGGACCGGAGGGGATGTCTGCCCCCCAATATTTAATTTGCCATCATCCCTCCTATGAATAAACCTTTGTATTTAAAATTTATATTAAGTTGTGTCGCCCCCCTCCTCCCAATATCAAACTCTCTCGGAGGCCATTGTCAGTGGGTGTAGGTACCTTCGAACCTAATCTCACATTCTTATCTACAGGATACTTCAAAAGCCGCACATACGTCTCCTGTCTGCACCCAGAGTGTATCTCAGGATAGCCGATTCCCACACCTGCATTATATGTGAATAAGTATTTTCGTTTAGCTAATTAAATCTTAAAGCACTATCTGAGAAGGTGGAGCTGCCGATCTTAATGTAGGCCCCTTTCTCGGTGTCTGCTTAAGAAACATACGCGTGCGAAGTGTAATTGGACAGCAGCGCTTGACACCTTTTTTTAACAAGCGTTTATACCTCACTTCCCTCGGCGTAAGAGGCCCTTAAATTGCTATTATTGCACTTTGCATTGTAGGAGTGTCATTAGCATTCAGCGTATTTCACAGTACATTTGCTTTCTTTGGATTGCAAAGGGAATTTTCTTTAGCTGCACGGACTCCGTGACAAGGCCTGCATTCTGAAAAGAGGCGCAGCGGTTTGATAGAGGATGCAGGCCGAGTGGCGCTGACGACGCGAGCCATCAGTGTCAGGCCGGTGTCGGGGAGCGTGTCAGGCCTTCCGGGGGGGGCTCTCCTGGGGCTCTGACACTTCGCTGACTGACACGCTCTCAACGCCGTTGGGCCAGGCTGTATTTCGGTGCCTCTGCTGGGACTCGCACCGGCTCACCCGAGTGCCCGTTGTGCGTTTTTTTCCTGCCTGTACCTGTCCGTTCGGCCATGCTCAGACACAGTCAGGTTGTTTTTTTTTTCAGCAATTCTGGGGGTTTTTTGGTCCATAAGCACCTGTACAACAAAGCAACGAGCATCACTGATGGGGTTTTTTTCAACACAACATCACCTGCTTCTGGAAATTGCAGCTATTTTTACTGATGTGTCTTCCATAGTCGTTCCGATAATGATACCCTTACAATAAACGGAAGGCACTCCTTCTAAATAAATCATTTGAGTGCTGCATGCTAAGTCAGAGGAGAGGATTTGGAGTGAATGATAACTGGTTTCCAACTCTTAGTTATCAAAAAAAACACACACACACACACACACACACACACACAAACAATAAACACGAGAACAGGGGTATATTTGCTTTGTATTTGTTTGCCGTGTTATATATAACACAAAATATTTTAACTAAATTGCACTTTGTGGCTTGTGGGAATTTTACTTACACAAAATGTTCTGAGGGTAGAAGGAAAATTGATTGGTTCAGAGAGACAAGCAATCAGAGTGTAGAGGTGGTGGGACCAAGATATCTGATTGGTTCATCCCATCTCCTCTAGTTGCTTGGATCCACCTCCTCTACAATCTCTCTGACCCAATCGTTTTTCCTTCTGTGCTCAGAACATCGTTGTGTGTGTGGCAGTCTGTGGTTGGGATTGGGAGCAGAATCACATGACACAGGACTGGGCAGGAAATAGAATGTCTGAGGAAACATTCTCCATTTCAAGCTGAAGAAAAGGAAAGCAAATGGATTGGTTCAGCACAGGAAGGCCTTAGCTTGCTGCGGATTGAGACGGCCTTGCAGGATCGTGCTGGATACGGCTGCTTTCAGGAGACTACGAGGCACACAAAACAGAACCGGTGGCACCAATCACATGCTCCCCGGTCCAAAACTTCTACATCAGAAGGTCGCCAGTTTGAGCCCCAGCCTCAGCAGAACAGTCACATGTCTGTGGGCCCTTCAGCAAGGCCCTTAACCCCCAGCTTCCAGGTGACCCCCAAGCTACGGAGAGGGCGTACGATGGGGTGGGCAAAGAGAAGCATTCCAATGTACCTGTACTTGTGCAAATGACAAATAAAGCATGTTCGTTTGATTTGTTTGTTATAACTAAGTCCAATAATTTTTGGAATAACAAATGGGGTCCATTTTTTTTAATTGAAATTTCTTAAAACCGTTTTATTGAAGTATTCTTATATGGCATAAAATACAGCAGTGTATTGATGTTCAGTTTTTAAAAGGGATTCGAGACAAGTATTAGTGTACATTTTCAGCAGCTAAAATTGAAATTTAAAAACATAATTTTTCTGCACCATGGGCTGGCTACACGCATGTGCAAGGCGAGTCACGCTACACGTTTCCACACACAGTGAGAGGTCAGTGATCACATCAGCCGCACACAGAGATGCAGAGCCAGGCATGGATTACAGCCAGACGCATAAGTAGCAAATTCATTTCTTCTTGCAGCTGTGAAGTTCGCTGATTCGTCGCGACAACGGTGATTTAACAAGAGCGAATCATGATGTTGCTGAAAGCGAGAAGGCTTGTATTCCGAGCTGATTCATGTTAGCCTATCAGCTGCTTTCAAGGGACACAATGGGGCCGTTTTAAGCAGTGCTTTATGTGAGGGACACTGGTTTTGAACATACAAAGGCAGACATCTGGAGAAGACACAAAGGATCCAAACATTACATTAATCTAACAAGCATGTACTATTACAGGGGGTGGGGAACCTAATCCATAAAGAGCCGGTGCGGGTTTTTGGGTTGGCCTCTCCATCAGCAAATAATAAAGCAGTGGTTCTCAATCTAGACTAGGATTGAGAACCACTGCTTTATTATTGGCAGGTTGAGAGGTCATGCCAAAAACCCGCACTGGCTCTCTGTGGATCTGGTTCCCCACCACTGTACTATTAAATTGTCATTTATTGGCCACCTTAGAACATTTCTAAGAATTTTTAAGGGTCTCAGATGGCATACATTAATACATTTTTTCAGTTTATTAATATTAATATATATTTTTCTGCATGTCCACTGCACTAGAGGCTTGGAGAGCACATTGGGGTATCCTTGATGGTGCACACAACACAGACATTCCAGTGGTGTAGCAGTGACTTGGTAGGTGGGTATACTGTTGTACCGTATAGTTGTGTATACATACAATTTCTAGGCGGGTAGGCGGTAAATCCATCTTTTAGAGGTGGGTATATGCTGTACCCCTGTCCACCACTATGCCTCTGGTAGATATACACAAACACATACAGTACTGTGCAAAAGTCTTAGGCAGCCAAAGTAAGTGATGTTTAAATGATCTTCATGCTGGTGTAAAACTATGCTATTATGCCCATCAGAGTGTGTTAGTTTAGCGATTTCAAAACCTCTGCTAAAATCACCCCAGTATTTGCAGCCACCATCCAATACGCCCATGTATTTTTTTTGACTTGACCACTATCATACCTCGTATAGCTTATCAATATTTCATTTACTTTTTTAAAACTAATTAAATTAATTAATTAAATGAGCTGGCGGTGAAATTTAATAAATACATGGAATGGCTGAGGTGCCCCTGAGGAGAGGTTTGGGACCTGAAGCGGTGTTCATCTAACCATCCAACTAGATATCAGTATCTTTTTGGAGAGCAGAAGAAATGTTTACTAGTGTTTATCGTGTTGCTCTTAATTTGCGTATGTTCTAAGGTTATATTGTGTTTTTTGTTCTGAGTAAATGTGCACTTACTACCCAGATAAATAGCTTTAAACATTTCTTTTGACTGCCTAAGACTTTTGAACAGTACTGTATGCACTCGCATCCATCCATCCATCCATTGTCCCACCCGCCTATCCTTCTGGGTCGCGGGGGGTCCGGAGCCTATCCCGGAAGCTACGGGCACGAGGCCACACACTCTAAATTTAATTCAGTGTCACTTGAGCTGTGCATATTTGGACAGTGTGCAGAGACTGGTGCTGTTGGGGTTAGAGTTAGCATGTTAGGACGAGGCAACGGAACTGCCTACTAAGGCACAATTCCATCCAAAAGCAAAACTGAGACATCCCCTAACAGTCTCTGCCATCATTAGTGTAATTAGCTATTACTGACTAAGTACATAGTGTGGTCTTTCTCGGGGGTGTCATACCTTAGCACACAGTGTTATGTAAAATGCCCCCCTCACTGCCCAGATGACCTGGCAGCCCTGTGAACCCCATTGTTAATAGCACTGTGTTTTAATAAATCATTCGGTGACAGCTTCTATATTGGAGGCTTTTTCTACACGCTTGGCCGGAACATGGTCCTCGGCTCCGGTCTTAATAACACAACAGTACCGTGACGGCTTGCAGCTTAAACGGACAACAATCTCTGATTCATTTTTGGAAATGAAGGACAGTAAACAGAAAGTATTGTTTATCGCCATGGGAACTGACACTGTAATTTCAAAACAATGTTCCTTTTTTCCCCCTGGTTTGGAAAAAAAAAAAAAAAAAACATTTCTGTGATTCTTAAAGGATACTTTAGTAGAACATGGCAACACACTTCACTTTTCCTTCTTCCTAAATTATTTATCTTGGGTGTCCAGGCTAGGGGAAAATCCTCTGCTTTGTACAGTACAAGCTGTCATTGGCTCTTCCCAGGATGCATCTGGAAAAAGGATTGAAAAAACCAAATGCAGCCAGTATGACCCTTAACAAATTAATAAAAATAAAAAGCGGCTTAGTTAGTGGAGACTTGACCATCCATCCATCCTTCCATCCATCCATCCTTCCATCCATCCTTCCATCCACCCATTTTCTGTAATCATGTATCCATCAGACTGATGTTGAGCCAGAATCAGGTTTCAGAGAGCATAGGAGATGGTATTACTTGTACCGGATGACAGTCCAGTACAGGATTTGATCACATTAACCCAATCCAGTGCATATCAGCTAGAGTCCATTTTAATAT